TCACAAGAATGTCCTCAACTCGACATATCTAGAAAATTAAAAGGTTGAAGAATTATCAAAATTCCGAAAGGCTAAAAATAAAGAACAGAAAATCACTATTAAGAAGCAGTCAAAACTGATTTACTCCAGGAGAGTAACACAGAAAGGGTTACTATTCCCAACTAGAGGTGTTACACGATAAAGGAGCCGCAACTGTTTGGCATATATTAGAAAACGTTATGATCAGTCTAAATAATATATTAGACTCTTTAATTGTGTAACTACCTAGTAAGTAGTACAAAGTCTATACATCATCAAAACTTAACTCGTGCTAGAATGGTAATTATGAACCATCAAGTCACGTCTTTATCAAACTTACCTGAAGGGAAAAGGATAGTGTATAATTGACATGGCAATCATCCGGCGGACTAATCAAGTCTATTGGGCATGTCTTGCTCTCACAAAGAGCCTGAGTAACCCTGTAAAAAAACAGAGAGAGATTTTGTAGCACATCGTTTCAGTTATTAAGTCTAGCAATAAACACCCACAGAGAAAATAATGTAAACGTAGAGGAAGTCATACTCACGCTGTTTTGCTTTCTTTGTCGTCAAGTGGTGCTTGAATTATAGAACCGGGTCCAACCTGCAAGATTGAGGAAAGTTTAAAAAATAGTTTTACATACTCCACTGATGACTACGTCTAAGTAAATGTTTGTAACAGACGAACAGAAACATGATCTCATAATAACATAGATATAAACAAAACAAGAGAAGTTGGATGATATAATCATGTTAAAAAAGTTATTTCTTACAGTAATGTTGTAAAACTGAGATAAGGAGAGTCTCTGGCCTTTAATTGCATCCCCAGGACCGGTGAGCGTCAACATTCCTTGACCATATACACCCAAGTTCGTATTAGAACTTATGACGGACTTTTCCTACAACAGTAAGAAGTCAAAATCTGTCTCCCAATCCAACCAACAAAAAAGAGAGACATGATAAGATTTACAATGTATACCGTTAGAACTGCAAGGTTGCGAACTTCAAGGACAGAGGAAGGCACAGCAGGGTTTCCTTCACCATCAATTTTGATCACAGAATTCAACATGAGCAGCATCTTTGTAACAAGTCGTAATGCACCAAAAACCTTCATATAAGGAGGAAATAACTTAACTTAACAAAACATATAGGAGAAGCAAGACGGTAAAGGAGAATCAAGATTGTTACTGAATGGTGAAAAACAATAACCTGCCTTTATAACGGAGTTACTCATTAGAAGCTCTTCTGCAACAAGTTCAAACTCTGAAATTGGATATTTTGATAACCCAAACACAATGCTGCTTCCCCGGTAAAGACTGATTTGACCTTTGACCTTCAGAATCAGAAAAATAAAAAGGTATTTAAAAAAAGAGAGACCAAGGAGCTCTTTTTAAGCAATCTTTAATAAGGAAAAGAACTGAAAGTTGCAAGGTCAGCTGTTAGAAGAAAACATAGAGAAATTCATTCATACTTTAGTAAATACAAAAGGCGTATGCGGATCACACAAATATCAGGGTAGAGAAGATGATTCAGGACTTTATCGGGGAAAAGAAAAAGACATTCAGGAAATTAACTGACCTGCATTCTGGTCCAGAGCAGCGGAACCAAAACTTTTGCGTGGTTATCTACATAGATGTTTGACCACAGAGGCCTTGTAGGAAAATCGAGCAAAGGAGTTTCTGTCTCTGTAGTCATGTTATCATTCCCAACCCTTAAACTCACCAATTCTGCATTAAAGTAAGTTCCAGCTGCTCCAGCATTTTCGGGGCACCCGATACTTGCACCACCTGCAGTTAAAGAAAATAGTACCAAATAATTTAGTATATGTTCAACACAGCCTAAAATGGAGAAGTAAATCCACAACTAATGAGACTAAACACAGCCTGTAGTCTGTAGAAGACCTATGTCAGTTGCATGACCGTTGAAAGGTAGCAAAAGAAATACAAACCATGCACAAGAACTCTGATATCTTCTTGGATGCTGTAACAGTCAAGGGAGATCCTTCCTCCACCACCTCCACCCCATCCCTTCCCTCCTGATGCGGATATTCTACCATAACCCTTCCTACATATTCAAATAACAAGTTGAGAAAGATTGATATAACTCAAATGATTGCATAGGACTCCAAAGGAAGCATGGACTTACAGCTTTACCGAACGAAAACAGATACTTCCTCCAGATCCTCCACCCCCTTGCTCTCCACTATCACCACCATCTGCGGAAACAGATCCATTCAGGTGTATTGTATCCGTCGATATTAGCTTGACACGACCACCACCTTTCCCTCTGATATTCGTTGCGGATGTTTTAACCCCTCCCTCACTCCCATAGCTCCAAGGCTCATGCAAAGACGACCAGGCGTAAACGTCACCACCCCAATAAGTCGATGTGTTGCTCTTCACACACGAAGCACCTCTCCCACCATGGCCTCCACCGGCACCTTCAGTACCAACCGGTGTTCCACTAGTCTGAGAAGGCGGTGGTCCAGCCAATGCCGTCGTGTAGATAGACGAGTTGCTGTCCATGGTTAAGTTGATACCAGAGAGAACCACAGAACCGGCAACGATTCTAGCTGATTCCCCCACATGAATGTTTCCAGATACATTGAAAGTGATCATACATCCTTCGATGGGGCAATCAACCAAGACATGGGCAAGTATGTTCAGAGATCCCGTCCCGTATACATACATATCGGAATCAAAACGCAGATTTGAGTTCAGCGTGCAAGTAGTATTCAACGATCCAACACCGTCCAGGTCCTGGCAAGTCACAAAGCTAGAATTCCCAGAATCTACATCTGAAGATAATCTCACGGGGCTCTCTATTTCAGTGCCCCGATGCTGTGATAAGCTAAAACATGGCGTTGACACCAGAAGGACACACAAGAGCACGAGTTCGAGCATCACCAAGGGAAGCAAAATCAGTCACACACTATCCCAGAGAACCGAGATAACACTAGACGACATTTAAGACAAAAAAAATCGCGATTCTCAGTCAATTCCGTAACGGTTCCACAAAGACGAAGCTAATCTTAATTCACTATCTCCATAAACAGTCCCAAAATGGCTGTCGCATACAAAATCTGCTTCTGCAACAACGAGGAAAGCAAAAATCGCATGAGGAGATTTCAGAAACCTAAAAAGAGGGGGAAGAAAAACAATGAGACACAGCGCGAGGAGTGTTCCGCGATACGTTATCAAAATCACTTAAAAGAGAAACGAAGAAAAAAAAAACACGAAGAGAAGAGAGTGGAGAAATGGTTAACCTGATTTTGAAATCGACTGGAAACGAAGGAAAATCTGGATCTTCAGGAGTGAGTTAGAGATGGTCTCTTTCTGTTTTACTTCGCTTTCCTCTTGTTTTCTTCGGCGTATGAGAGAGAGAGAGAGAGAGACTGTTATGGAGTCGAAGCTACGCTTAAATCAAATGTACAGCTGTCCTCCCGCAAATCAAAAATATATACGATATATTTTAATTTTAAATATCTTGCTTTTATCATTTTGTATTTTATAACAGGAAATCGCCTAAATTGTTTGATTTCGTTTCAATAAAAATGATTATCTATTTAGTTATGTCTATATATTGTTTTGCTCTGAGGAAAAAACAATATTGTAATGATGAAGAATATTATTTTGCCCTCTAATTTCCACAAAATCACTCAACCGCCATTCTGAGTTTGCAGGTGATGATGCAAGCGTTACACTTTTTATTTTGTCCATATTAACTCTATCCAGACTAAAATATTTGTACGGTCAAGATAATATCGGGGAAACATCTTAAAGATTGACTAGAAAAATATCTTATGTTGAAAAAAGATTAGAAAAATATATGTAATTTTTTATTCCATTTTTGGCGTGTTACACTAATGCAAAAAGAAGAAACTTGAGTCGTGCCAAAAGCCAATATAAACGGATATGAGATATAAATCAGGGAGGGAGCCCAACTAGATCTTTAATATTGTGAGCAGGTATATAAAGTTCACGGCATCTCTCGCATTTCTATTTATTTTTCATTATGAAAAATTAAATAAATTCGAGTCCGTGAAATAGCCCTTTCAACTTTTATATTCTCTCTTATTTTAGTGCTAAAGCTAGAAACCTCGGGAGGTCGTAGCCAAAAAATGAGAGTTTTTCTTGTCCTTTTGAGATCAAACTAAAACATATAGCGCGTTTCACAGTCGTTTCGTAGATGATATTTTGGGCTTCGTGGCCCTATTGGTAACCCAATAAATAATCCATTAACATCACCTCATGTAGCAGTGACACGTGTTTAACGTCACAAGCAACCCAGCAAAGAGACGAAATGACGAAAGTTAAATGACATTTAGTGATTACACTGCCAATATGTCCAAACCAAATCGTCTACTTTCTTATCACCCAACCTGTAAAATTATAAATCTTCATTGCAGGGGAAACCAAAATTCTTCTTTTGATACTGATGATAGTTTCTTTTAAGAAACCCGTATCAAAACCGAGCAAAATCGGTGTTAATGAATATCCAAAACCAAAACTGGGCAACCCCATAAACCAAAACTTGAACGTATCTCATAACAGATAATCGAATCAATGATGCAGAAAAAATAACTAAGTGAAAAATATCCAAAAACCAAATGCAAGAGCTGGTCGTAATAATCATATCAATTTCACAAGACACAACCACCGAGTTTTTTTTTTAACTATGGGTACCTTCAGATAAGTGACTACAATATGAGGATGCGATTATAATATTACACGGTAAAAGCAAACATATAAATATAAGCCGGAGCAAGACTTTTCCTCCAGGTTACTTTAGGTACCTGTTTCCCTTCATTATCATTACCTGTTGCTGCGTTAAGCGAGCCAGAAAGGCACATACCTTGCAAGCACCCGGAAGCCACCACATGTTTTTGTTTGTAGCCGTGGATAGCACGAAACCACGCTTGCTGAATTTGCAACAAGGGTTTTATTATAAACCCATTGCATTCAAGTTTTATCTTTGTCACATTTAGCCATTGTAAGGAAGCTTTGGGTTTTGTGAGCTTTGGTTAGGTTGAGATTGCTGTGGGGCTGAAAGGTTTAGCGGCTGTGTGTTGTACTGTGAGAAAGGTTGCGAGTAGAGTGAATTCGGGAGACCCTGAGCACATTTTTAGACAAGAGCCCGTTAGCATCTATGACCAGAAACATATCTTACACAAGATTGCTTTGTCAGCACCAAACGCAGGAAAACTGCAGGATTAGGATTGTTCACACCATAAGGACAAACCTGAGACTGAAGATTAGGATTGTTCCCGCCAAAAGGATTCTGTTGTCCATCATCCTCGATGAAGCCAGGTTGCGTGAAAAGACCATGTGCTCCATGTGCCATATACTCCTGCATATGCAATCAAAGGCTCAGATGAAGGAAGAAAAATTTTATGAAAAAAAAGTGTCTGCGTAGGAAGGAAAGGCCTTGAGAAACACACCTGCGACATGAAATCGTTACTTCCGCTGAAATGAGAATAACCGGCTTGAGAATTCTGGTTCATAAAGTTTCCAGGAAACGTTCCATGGGCTCCTTGTGGTGCATAATCAACAGGATATCCTCCCTGTGAGGCATATTTATATGGAAAGATACAACCAACGTAAGAAAAAAAAAGAAGAAAAAAAGAGCTCGTCATTCCTAGGAAAATCAACTTTGCAGCACATAGTAAAAGATTATTGCCAAACCTCCTATCTGAATGAAGGAGAGGTCTTGAGTTTCAAAAACACGCTAATCCTACTATCGTATATCCAAAGTATGACATTTCTAATCACTAAAGCAGAAGAGAAACTATACCTGTGAAGCAAAGTCGGCCATGCTGTAAGGACCCTGAGATCCCTGGCTCTTAAAATCATCACCCAAGAAATCCTGGTGGAGTTGGCAAAAAGAAGATTAAACAACAGACAAAAAGTAGAATAAGCTCCAACCAAATCACCAAGTAACATTTAACAAGAAGATAACCTGAGATATGCCGCCCATAAATCCATCCCTGAACGCTTGGCTACCCTGAAAAGGAAATTATCGCGTCATAACTTAGAATAAAACAAAACAACCGAGTTCTAATGCTTCTAAAATTAGATGAAAACTTCAAAGAGATGTGGACAATACTTACATATCCAGGTTGGGACAGTGGACCACCAGGTGAAGCTTGGCTATGTGGACTATCAAGGGGAAAGTTCAAACTAGGGCCAATAGTTCCAACATTATGCTGGGTGCCTTGCTGGGGCGGAAGGTGGCCCCCAACTGAACTTCCACGACCAGCTCCAAAACCGTGGTTTCCAGGTTGGGGAGCATGAGGAACAGCACCAACAGGTCCGCGAGCTGGAATAGCGTATGGCTGGGAAGGAGGACCACCAGGAAAGGGTGAAAGTGGTACCCTAGGCATCGGGTAGCCAGCTGGGTGAAGTCCAGGTCTAGCACCATTAGGTGGGCAAAAAGGCATATACGAACCACCAGCTGAATCAATAGAAGGAAAAAGGTTTAAACATGGGGATCGTGAATGAATAAAGCACAAATATAATCACAGAAGCTACAAAAAAGGTACTCGAGATTTACCTCTTCCACGACTGCCTCTTCTGTCGGCATTACCCGAACCAAAATGGTCATTTCCCATCATGCCAGCACCACCACCATAAAATAGTCTCCGATCATTGTAGATCTAAAAACAAGTACGAAAGAGGAATGCTGTTTAAATTGACTATCATTGTAATCTACGCTGATGGACATCGAGGTTCATTTGGTACCTTTCTTGGTTTCTGAAATTGTACCATGCTCTGCTTTAGATTATTAAGAGGTCCCTCAACCAAGCACTCGTGGTCCTATCGAAATGACAAAAACAAACAGAATGCTCAATTTAGTATCATACAATCATTCATATTACTCAATGAATCCTGAACTCAAACGGATAGCATCCCAAAGGCACACAAAGAACGACTGTAACAACTGAGTGGCAACAGAAGGTAACAAGAACGATACACTAAAAGACTTCACTTCTGCTTTGAAAAAATAGGTGTACCTTGTAATGTGTCAACAAGCCATTCCACAGAGGCTGTTTACTAAGAACCTTCGGGTTTCCAAGAATAACAATTCCATAACGAGCACGTGTAAGGGCAACGTTGAGCCTCCGTGGATCATTAAGGAATCCAATGCCCTGAAAATCATAAAACCAGCAGTTATGAGACAACTCCGTCGCTCAAAAGCAATGTACCACAGAAAACCAGATTGAGAAGGAAAACCATTAACCAGAGTACAGACTTATAATTTATAGACCCACATACCTGATGCTCGTTACTTCTCACGCAGGACAATATAATGTAATCTTTTTCTCTTCCTTGAAAAGAATCAACACTGGCAACCTGTAAATTCATGAGCTTGTTAAATAAAAGGCAGGAACTCAAATAAACCTTCCTAAAACCGACTATGACAATACCTCAATTTCCTTGTAAAGCTGTTGTCGGAGAGAACCATTTCTTGCCATGTAATTAACAATGTATGCCCTCTGTCCCTCGTATGGAGTTATCACTCCAATCTGGTAACATCAAGCATAATTCCATACGTCAACCGATACCCAAATAATTTACTAGACATTAATAGACAATCCTAGTACTAGATTTTAGTAAACAATCCTATTACACTCACCTGACTGGGGACAACTCCACTCTTTAAGAAAGCGGTCACAAGTTTCTCCACATTAGCAGCCTCGGTTCTATTTAGATATGATGTTCCACTAGCACTGATCTCTTCTTGCCCCAGCTGCAATTGAACAAATTTGCTTTTAATGGGGGCCGAGCCCAGGGCTCTGATAGACCATATTTTCAAACGTTCTAAACTAATCCCAATGCAAAGTTTGATACCTGGACATAGAAAAACATAGGCCGGTTCGGCACAGGCCACGGGAAATCAATCCCTGTTGTTTGCCTTTCAATAATTGTGACTCCATTCTGTAGTGTTCCTTCATAGAAGCTATTGGATGGAAACTCGGACAAAGCTGGATGCATACGATATTGAACCTGAAATCACGAATATGCATTAATTGGACCGCCACTGGACCTAGTGAAAGGTAAAATATAAGGTATTATCTTAAATCCCAGTAAAGCATCACAAGAAAAAGAAGTATTTTTCAGAATATTTACATAACTTTCTTCACAAAAGTGAAAATATTATCATATAAAATTCCATTTCACGTGCTCAAATATGTTCCGTTAGAGAAGAGCAATTAATATAGTACCTGCAATCTAATTGGTTTAATACCAAGAAGCACTAGGCGTTCAAAGAGAGACTGTGCCAAGCCAGCACGAGCTGCTTTCTTGCACATAATCACAGGGCCAAGCTGACAATGATCACCAACAAGAACAACCTAGTGCGAAGAAATTCTGTCAGCAATCAATAATAATTAACGGTAACAAGTCAGCTCGTTGAGAACCCCAATACCTGTTTTACTCCGAGGACCAAAGGAATAAGGCACTCAGGTTCTGTTGCTTGAGTAGACTCATCAATAAGTACCTATCAGAGAGGTAGGGCATATCAGCTTCCACAAAATTAGAGATGCTCAAAATTAAGTAATTAATATTAACCTGTCTAAATCTAAAATTTGACAACCGAAGATCCGCAGCACCAACACAGGTGCAGCAAATGACATCAGCACTCTGTGTTATCTCGCGTTCTGTTGATCTTTTCAGATTTTTGTATTTCTTTTCATCACTGCTTGACAGCTCACCTAGTGACAATAAAAAAAGAGAAAAAGCAAAGATAACGTAAACGATATGTTCACTTCAAAGTTACAGGATGCGAGAACAAATTAGAAACTTCAACACATCGATTACAAGAAACTGGCAATAGATAGTAAACGAAAGAATTGAAAACTGCAGATAAGCTGAAAATGTGGGACCTTGTTCATCTTTCAACTGTTGTAGCTTATGCAGTTCGCTCTTCTCAGATGTGTCAAGATGTCGTACCTGCAAGCAACCGTTCATATGAATTAGAGAGATAGATAAGGCGATAAAGTGAATAAGGGAGTTATAGTATGCCACCATGACAACTAACCTGGTAGTGAAGGGTCAAATGCTCTACAGGAGAACTTACAGCTTCCCTTGATTTTGCACAAAGGCGAACAACCTGACATCAGATCAGAGTAGGAAAAAGCTTTTACGGAAGCAATATACTTTGGCAAGAATATTTTGAGCATCTTCAAATAAAACTGGATGGTGGCAACTTTCAAAAATGAATAATAAAGAGGAATATACAGCGTCTAATGAAAATTTAAATAATAGAGAAACTAGACACTGGGAGTCAAAATATTCACCTTTAAACCAGTAGCACTAATTTTTTCGGCTAGTTGGTCAACAGCAACATTACTTGGAGCACAAACAAGAACCTGTTCAGGTAATAATTTTAAATCTCTGGTGGTCAACTCACAAAAAGCATCCTGAAAGATCAATAATCAGCTTTACCTGTCCCTGGCCCTGTTTTGCCATGTGATACACAATTGCTGCAGAAGTCACGGTTTTACCTGTCCCAGGTGGACCTTGGATCAAGCTGATGGGCTTCTGAAGGACACTCTTCACCGCGTTAACCTGATCAAGGATAAGATATAAACTGTTTTTGTTATGCAGATTCAGAGAATAAATTCCCCATTGTGTTAACAAGGCACATCAAAACGATCCTGACGGTTTCAAGAAGGCAGTTATGACAAACACTCTTCGTGAACTTGATAAGCTGAAAGCCATTAATTACCTGAGATGCATTCAGTTCTGGAAGACCAGGTACCCCAAAACGTCGAGGTAATGTATTACGGACCATCTGGGCCTCAACTTCATGCCCCAATAACTGATGGTAAATGTAACTTCAAAAAAGAAAATAGAAATGTGGTAGTTCAGTGGTTAATCAGCGTGCAGTGACAAAGGGACACACACCAAGAAGGAACTAGGCTTTCAGTTACTTACCCACTCACACTTGTTTCATCAACAGCAAAATTCTTCATTGCTCCCTGCATTCGATCAAAGCTTGTACTTTTCCAAACAAAATCAACACTGAATCCATGGTTCACGTCAATTGGAACTCCCTACACACGAATATGTAAGGTTGAACATATCTGCACAAGTTAATGTCAAAAGCAAGTCTATAACAATTGAATTTAAACTCACTTGATTAGCTCGGAGTTCAAGAGCAACCTCCTCTTGTGCAGTTAGCTTGATCTGGAGGAATTTAAAAGAAATATTGGTAAGGACCTATATGGTCTCACTTACAGGATCCACCCTGCAAGCAGAAAAGATAGTAAATAATAATATCAAAACTAGAAAAGCGGCATACCACATGTCCAACTGATTGCCAAGCTGGATGAGCAGCATCTCCCGAGTAGCGCAGACGTAGTTCATCACCCGGCACTAACCGCAATTCATTTTCCTCCTGCGTCAGAAGTTTAAATCAGAAAATGTTCTACTCAAGTCCTAATAGCAACCACTAGGCTTCAACAACCTTTGGGAAGATGAAGTATGCAACACGCTTCTTGTTAAGACCAATATCCCAACGAACTGTGAGGTTTTCCTTGCTTTGCGACTCTTTCATCATCTACAAAAGAATTGAAATGATAAGACCCAACAGAACAAGAATAAAAGGGACATGGAAAATAGTGCTACAGATTCCAAATGCACACCTTGTCGTAATCTGCTTCGAGCTTAATAAGAGGTGCAAACACGTTTTGATACTGCAGAAGGAAGAACCACAAAGAAGGTTAAGCATAAAAGCATCATATTAATAGAGACCTCGTCCACTAAACTGGCATGACGAAAATTAACATCTGTTTCTCTCATAATTTGAACAAAGAGTTCCTTATTTTCATTTCATGAAAGGCTGAGGAAACGTATACCTGGTATGCATCTTCATACTTAGGTTGAACAGGCTGAGGTTCATCGTCTACACCAGGTTTTTCAAGGTCTTCAAGGGTAGCATCTGGATTTGTCTTCCATAATTCCTCAATCTTGTTTATCTGCTGCGCACTAATTTGGCGTGCTCTCAGCTGTTCCTGCTCTGATGGGACCTGCAAAACAAGAATTGAGAATAGCTCTAATATGAGGACGTCTTTTAAGAGAAATAAAAGATAGAAACTTACCTTAACAAGCCAGGGGAGGAAGCAGCGGTCGTCAATTAAGGGACACCACTGACTTAGGTCCCAGTTCATATCCTTCAGAGCATTTACATTTAAACAAGGATCTCTACAGAGAAGGACAACAACACTGTCTGTCTTTGCTGAGATGAAGCCGAGAAGAAAGACATTTCGGCACCCACAGTTGTAGCATTCGAGAATTGTTTCCCCTAGCGGACTGTCTCTATGGAGACAAACTTCCTTGTGTTTTGCTCGAACCTTAAATAACCGATACAAGGTATACATTTAGAATCTTAAAAGGGTGAAACTCCACGCAACCCAAGAGTAGAGAAGTATATCTATAGCATGACAATGGTGCAGCAAACAAACCAAATACTACCTACTAATACCAGCCATACACAAGAAAGTAAACCCACATCCATACAAAGGATTCTACAGAGGAAGAAAAAAAAAGGAAAACAGATTATAGGGACGTTTACTAACCAGATGATTCACGATATGCGAGCCAGAGGTGTTTCCCCTTGAATTGCAGAACCACTTCCTACAGGACGCCACATTACACCTAACCACGCAAGCTGGGTTCGAGATGCCACAGTACTTACACGCGTGCTCCGTGAAATCATTCTTACCATAATCGAAACCGTCATCGTCTCCAGTCTCCTCGAAGTTCAAATTTCCAATACCCGAGGCCAATGCATCAGCCTGGCTGCTACCACTGACGCCACCACGTCCCGCTTTGGCGCCATTGCCGACACCAGCAGACAGGGAAGAAGGTGACGAAGCCTCGGAATGGTGATCCGCGGCCGCTCCTCCTCCGGGAAGATCGGAAGGGTCGACGATGGATATGGAATCAGACGGGGTCGGCCATGCCGTCTGTGATTGGAACTCTTGGTAATCAAACTCCGAATCACCTTGGCTGTTGAATTCCAAAAAGGTATACGCGTCGGCCACCGTATCCGGCTGAGATGCCGTCTCATAGAGATCGCTCTGTTGCGAATCCATAGAAATCGGGGGAGAAATCAAGCTCCCTTGCTTACGATCGTGTCGCTCTTTGACTCGTTTCTTCTTCAATTGTTTTCTTCTGACGTACGAGCGAGTTAGGGTTAGGGTTATGCGCTAGTGAGAATGAAAACGGACTTCTGAATTGGATACGAATGTGTGTGTCAATGAAAACGAAAAGGGGGCGCGTGGCAGAAATATTTTTATTGCGAGCGTTTTTGCACGCGCCGTGGTCTATGTTATGGGCTTAACGTACTAATGTTGGGGCCCATTATGAATCATGAATTTAGATTCATATTTTCCTAATGTAAATTTTTTTTTTAACATCTAACTTTATTTATAAAATAACAGTTGCATAAAAAGTACAGAAAATATTAAAAGTACAAACAAATAAATTATAAAAAAAAAAGTAAACAAAAGAAGAAACAAATGTGGGCAATGGCTCTTTAACAGACCATACTCTCTTTCATGCAATGAAACTCCAAATTATGTTTTGCAACATAAAAACACCAAATGCTTATGTTGTATAACATTGGCCAATTCCCAAATCGGATCTATAGATGTTCTTCGATAAAAAAAAACCCAATCTATTGATTCTATCGATAAAACATATTTTGGGATTGCCAATTGTTAAACATATTTTGGGACTGCCAAGTTATTAAATTTTATTAATTTATCAAAATATTAATTAATCAATAAATTATTTAGATTAAGAAATTAGTTTTTTTTTTCACTTGATTTATCATACTATCACAAATTATTAGAAATATTACAATGAAGATTCCGCAACGAACAATTCCGTCTTCTGGTGCAAGCATGTTTTCAATAATCTGCATAATTGACAATAAATCGCATTCTCTGCGATTCGAACCACATATCTCCTGATGTAGAAGCATTAATGAACCCTTAACCAAACCACTAGGCCAAGGGGCTTCCACGATTAAAAACTTAGTTTGTAATCGGAAAATTCTGTTAATTTATAGAGTTAATACTATTTAGGCAGTAAGTATTTTTGGTATAGAAGTAGAAATTTAGTTGTGACTTTTTTCAATGGAAAGCCTGATTAGTTAATAATTTTAAAGCATTCTTGTGTAAGTAGTTTAATAAGGAAAAAAAATAGAATTGATTTTAGGATTTGCACACCTAATGAAGTAATTAATTTTTTTTTTCAGTTGATTTATCATACTATCTTTATATTATTAATTGAGAAGTACATTCTAATGTTTGGATACAAGAATTAGAGAAACATCTATTTGGATAGAAGAATAAATGGAAACAAAAGTTGTTTGGATATAAGAATAAGAGAAAAATCTATTTGGATAGAAGAATAAATGGAAAAAATTGTTTGGATACAAGAATAATAACTTAAAATAAACCGATGGTTTAGAAAACTTCCGTTTTCCATCTCTTAAAAATCTGCAAAAAAAAAACTTAACATAATCTAACGATAATTCCAAATCAATAGAATATGCTTTTTGGATTTTCGGGTTTTTATAGACAAGTTCGGGTTTGGGTGAAAATCTGAGACATAATTTTATAGAGATATATATAGAGATATAGAAATTGTTCGGGTTTCTTTGAAAATTTCTGTTCGGGTTAGGTTCAATTTTTTTTTTCAGTTTAGGGTTTTCCGGATTTTTTAGATTTCTGGTTTTCGGGTTTAGATATATTAAAAAAATTGAGTATTTTAAAATTTTGATTAGGTATTGGGGTCGGGTTCCGGGTGAAAAAGTTTCCAGATTTTTTTTGTTCAGTCAGGGTTTTCGGGATTTTTTTGATTTCGGATTTTCATGTTTAGACCTATTAAAAAAGTTTGGGTTTTTAAATTTTTTGATTAGGGTTTTTTGTCGGGTTCGGATTTAGGGTTTAAATTTTCTACACAAAACAACAACGTCACACCGCACAAACGTGCGGGTACTCTACTAGTCACAAATTATTAGAAATGTTACAATATCGAGTTTTCTAAAAACATATCTTAATAATATGTGCATAATTGATAATTAATCACAGATCTCCTGGTGTAGAAAGCACCAATGAAATAATTAATCAAACATCACTCTTTTGTCGAATAATTATTTTCATATCCTAATTATCAGTTACCAATATCACATGTATACATCATAAATATTAATCATGACATTGCCACATTCATCGAATGTAAGTAATTTTCTCTAAGAAGTTTGAGGTTCACAATTAACGAATAACCAAAAAAAAATCCGATATTCCCTTTTTACGCCAGTATTTATACACAATACCAAAACAAGTTAATGAAACAAATTCAAAGCAACTAAAACCATACAAAAAATAGATAAACTACAAAAATAGGAAAGCAAAAAACCAAAAACCACCACACGTACATATAAGGAAATGAAAACCATCCGTTTACATTTACGAAGCCACTTCTTGGTAACCTCCTCAGCCATGAAATAGTCGCAAAACCCTTTCTTTCTTCTACGTTTATAATTGTTTTCGACAACGATCGGACGTAGAGAAGTCTACCTCGTAGACCTTTCTCTCATATACAAATTCTTATTTTCTCTCGTACGTTACCCGCCACGTCAAAAATGCGTCTCTCTCGTAGTACAAACCCTTTCGTTCTCTTCTTTTTTCTCGCTGTTGCCGCCGCACCAGCCATATCGGCTGAGGTAGCGTTCTTGAGAACGGACTATTACCAAAAATCATGTCCCGATTTCAACAAAATCGTGCGAGAAGCCGTTATGGCCAAGCAATCTCAACAGCCGACAACCGCGGCAGGGACACTTCGTCTCTTTTTCCACGATTGTTTCCTTGAGGGTTGCGATGGTTCCGTTTTGGTAGCCACCAACTCGTTCAACAAAGCGGAACGTGACGATGATCTCAACGACTCCCTCCCAGGAGACGCTTTCGACATTGTCAACCGTATCAAGACATCTCTCGAGCTGGCTTGTCCCGGCGTGGTGTCCTGCGCTGATATCTTAGCGCAGGCTACGCGTGATCTTGTCACGATGGTAGGAGGTCCTTTCTTCAACGTAAAGCTTGGCCGTAAAGACGGGCTCGAATCTAAAGCCCATAAAGTCCGAGGAAACGTCCCGATGGCGAACCAGACGGTCCGCGACATCCACGGGATGTTCAAGAAAAACGGGTTTAATCTACGCGAGATGGTAGCATTAAGCGGAGCACACACAATCGGATTTTCTCACTGCAAAGAGTTCAGTGACCGTCTCTACGGAAAGAAAGCCGATAAGGAAATCAACCCTAAATTCGCAACCGCTCTTAAACAACTATGCAAGAACCACACCGTGGACGACACAATCGCGGCGTTTAACGACGTGATGACTCCCGGAAAATTTGACAACATGTACTTCAAGAACCTTAAACGAGGGCTAGGGCTATTAGCTTCCGACCACATGCTCATTAAAAACAATCACACGAAACCGTTCGTTGATCTTTACGCAGCCGACGAGAAAGCCTTCTTTGATGATTTCGCACGTGCGATGGAGAAACTCGGCACTGTCGGCGTCAAGGGCGATGGACAAGGAGAGGTGAGACGTAGGTGCGACCAGTTCAACAATCTCAACGTATAAGAACAAAAAAAAAACAAATTAAGAATATTTCTGTTTTATATTTGAGGGGAGAAAGGAGAAATTGAGAAGAACAAAGGTTTATTTGGTATATATATGTTATAAAACTATGTATTATAAGCACGATCGTGTAACAATTCAAGATGGGATGTTTGATTTTTTTTTCATGATATTAAATTGTTATACTAAAAGTATATAGATAAAAATAATATTTATTCATCGAACAGTTGTATTGTAGTTAACATACATTTTCCAGTTGATAATGTTGACAAAAAAATTCAACTTGATTTTGAAACCACAACATTGAGTTGTTGTGTTTTTTTTTTACTTTTCCATGGTTTTCATTGTTAATGGTAAATTGCTTTTATTCGAGTAAAATCACAATCAGATACGCAGTTGATAAATGAATAAGTATTGCTCCTTAATAGCTACTCGAATCGCAATCGTGATGAAGTTCGTTTACAGTGATAATCATAATCATTGTTGTGGTTTCCAAAAGTTAATTAAGCCATCAAAATTGTGGGGAAAATATTAGACAAGAAATCTTTATTAAGTTCAATTTTAATTTGGGATATCATCGATCAAAACGTGCTAACGTTGCTATGATGTTTTTGAGCTCATGTTTTTGGTCCACCGCAATTTTCGTTAATTGTGGCCTATGTTTAAGGGGAGTGGCAACGCGTGACATGAACCATCTAAATAAAGCGTGAGTTTGAATAAAACTCTCATGACGGAAGTTTTTCTTTTTGTTTGCTTATAAATTGGATCACAAATTACTAAAATAATTTTAACAACAAAAAGATTACTGTAGTTCTTCAATCATTCTCTCTAGTGTTTTGCTTCCCGGAAACAAAAAAATGAAGTTCATGATTTACCTCGTTGTGTTATTTCTAGTCTTGAATATTATGAACGCAAACAAAGTGGCAATGGCAAATTCTCTGATTCAAGATTCGTGCAAGAAAGCTTCAAAATTTGAGGAACCACATTACTACAACTTATGCATCACATCTATCAAGCAAAATCCGGAGAGTCAGAAAGCGAGAAATATTGATGAATTGACTGTTATAGGAGTGAAAAACGCTATCTCAAACATGACGAACGTGAAAGGAATTGTGGAGAAGATTCTGAAGGAGAGAAAGTATAAGAGTAGGTTGAGTGAGAAGCTGTTGCGCGATTGCTCTAAGCTTTATTCTGAGGGAAATGACTTCTTAACCAAATCTTTAAAGTACATTAACTCGCGGAATTACCAGGAAGTCGACAATAGTATTGCTAAAGCAGGAACTGTTCCAAGAACTTGTGAAATGGGATTCAATGGCGATAATAACCAGACATCTCCGGTGACGAAAGACAACGATGTTCTATTCGAAGTGGTCACCATTCCTCGATCATTTAATCACGATGCCCATATTGTCCCGCGTATAGCCTAATAGCCCGTCAGTTTTAAGCGGTTACTGTTTTTCTTTTTCTTTTTATCCTGTTATGAAATAACAAACTAGAATATTGTAAAATCTCAGAGAAGATGATAACAATGGAAGAGAACTTTTTTGTCTATCATTCCATAGAGTATCGACATGATTATATATTACAGAGAAGAGTAGATGTGTTTTCTAAAGTAAGAGATTACAAGATATTTACAACTGATATTACGGGCCTGAGATTGATATGATGAGAATCCCATTTATGTTGATGTAATCGCCAATTGGTTGACTGATATGAGTAGAGTCTCCAATACCCTCCTTCAAGTTGGAGCATGCAGGTTTTGAATGCCCAATTTGATCTTAAAGTAGTCAAAGGATTGACGACCAAGTGGTTTGGTGAAGATGTCGGCCAATTGGTCTGTAGTCGAGACATGAGTGAGTCGGATAGTTTTGAGCAAACATTCATCTCGGACAAAGTGGCAGTCAATCTCGATGTGTTTTGTCCTTTCATGAAAACGGGATTGTTGGCGATGTGGAGAGCAGATTGGCTGTCGCACATATATAACTGGTTTCGAACCCATCATCCCGGTGTCGACAATAATGTCCATTGCATATTTGCGTTGACTCATGTAAATTCCCAATTTATTACGTGCCACTTCTATTCCCAGAAAATACTTGAGCTCACCAAGATCCTTCATATGAAAACACGATGAGAGATTACTCTTGAATGCTGTAATAACATCAAGAGAGCTCCCAGAGATAATCATATCATCAACGTAGACTAAAACATTTAGATTCACACCAGAGTTAGCAAACGTGAACAAAGAGTAATCAGAGAGAGACTGTTCGAACCTGTAATCTTTCAATGCGGTCTGAAGCTTGGTGAACCAGCATCGCGGAGCCTGTTTTAGACCATACAGAGATTTGTTTAGGCGACAAACCTGGCTGCCATCAGAATCAGCGAAACCTGGAGGCAATTTCATGTAAACCTCTTCGTCGAGGTCTCCGTGAAGGAACGCGTTATGCAAGTCCATCTGGTGGACAAGCCAGTTTCTTCCTGCTGCAACATTTAAGAACAAGCGAACTGTATTCATTTTTGCAACTGGAGCGAAAGTTTCCTCATGGTCGATTCCTTCAATCTGCTTATTTCCGAGTACCACTAATTGAGCTTTGTGGTGTTCTAGTGTACCATCCGACTTGTATTTGAGCTTGTAGACCCACTTACATCCAATAGCCTTCTTCCCATGGGGTAAGTCAACAAGAGTCCATGTCTTGTTCTGTCCAGAGCTTTGATCTCTTCAGCCATGGCTTTGCGCCACCGAACATCATCCATTGCCTTGGAAAAAGATTGTGGTTCAACACTTGTTGCTATAACTGCCATATACGCTTGATGAGTTGCAGAGAAGCGGCGACTGTCAATGAAATTGGCGATGGGATACGCCGATTTTACAGTAGGCAGTCCTACTGGTCTGCTCAAAACGCGGTTCGTGACAAAATTTCGGAGAGTCACCGGAGGTTTTTTCGTTCGATGACCACGACCCAACTATTCTGCGCAGTGGGTTCTGCCGGAGAAGACGGTGTGACGGTTGATTGTGCCGGAGAAGGTGTTGGTGAGACGGGATCTGAAGGTGATGGTAAAACGGGATCGGAAGATGCAGACACCAAAGATGATTCTGACTGTTCGATGGATGGACCAGAAGACAGAGTTGGGCCAATTTCAGGGTTCAAGAGAACTTGTGGTTGTTCAAAAGTAACTGGGCCAGGCCCAACAGATTTGCTGTTGGATGGTAAAAAGAGATCTTCCTCAAGGAATGGGCTTGGTTGATTCACGGTCCAAGAGGTGTTCTCTGTTTCATCAGACTGAGCAGGGGACGATGGCGCTGCAAACGGAAATTCAAGCTCGGAGAAATGAACATCCCGTGAAACAAAAAAAACATGAGACTCCAAATCAAACAATCTCCTATAAGAACGCAATTTCTACAATAGGCGACTGATTATTGTAAAGTATTTATATGAACAAATTAATATAACATAATATTAAAATGATACAAAATAAACAAGAATTAAAGAAAACAAAACCGGATTTGCAGAGTCGAAATATGATCTATTTCCTTAATTATGTAAACACACCGTAGTGTGACGGTTGCATAACGTTCTGAATACCAGGATAAAACTGCACACTTCTTATGATTGCATCACCCAAATCATAAGCTTGCGAACCATGTTTTATGTGATGTACTCTCATAAGAAAAAACAAAACAAAAGAAGAGAAGTGAAAGGATTGTTTCTTGTATGAATGATCATGATTAATGTGTTAACTCATATCTTAACAAGAGAATGAGACATGGCTTATATAGCCTCATGCCAACGAAAGGCATTAAAGTGGAGATCAAGAATTTATATTCATAATAATTATTTTCAAGTAACATAAATATTTGATGTTACAAAATCAATAACAATTGACTTTACACTTAATTGTCATTGACACAATTAATTAAAGGAGATATTTTCTTTGTTGACTTAATCAAAAAGAATACTTGGTCAAAAGATTAATCTTATAGACCGTTGGCCGGACTGTGAAATCCTAAGGCCCGAAAACAATTTCAGCCCGGATATCTCTTTTCTCCACTTTATATACAAGAGAATTTCACCTCAAACTTCTAATGTGGGACATTTTACAAATGTTACATTTTATGTTATACAAGCAATCCCCCACATGAATAGAAATGACTCTAGACACTGGACGACTCAACTCTAGACTTGACTCTCTAGACAAGATTCAAAAAGACTCAAAAAACGACTTTTGAGAATACACGCGCCGAAGGAACCCCTTTTGCTCGAGCTCGCCGTAGGAAACTTTCCCCAAGGTTTCAAGATCCATCTTTCAGGTTCCTTTCAAGCTGTAAGGCTCGCTCTCGACAAGCAGCAAATAGAAAATGAAAAGAAGATTTTGAAGGATCTGATTTCATCTAAGGAGTGGCGGTTAACAGAAGGCCATTTCAACTTATGCTCTAAAGTCTCTCGAAAGTTCAATCTCATAAGAGAAGAAAGGTCGACAGAAAGTTGGGAAGTCAGTACGCCCGGTTCACGAGGTTCTACCACTGCAGCTATAGAAAGTTGTGGTTGGTTGTTGACCAACAAAGTTCTTTGGGACGATCTTGTGGTCATGGAAAGCTGTGGTTCTCTCCTTATAGATCTTTGAATTCTCATAGGCCAGATGCCTAATCTCATCAAGCTCATTCAGCTGAATCAATCTTCTTTCTCCTGCTGTCTTTAGGTTGAAGTTTAATTCCTTAATAGCTCAAGCTGCTTTGTACTCCAGTTCTACAGGTAAATGACATGCTTTACCATAGACAAGATGAAAGGGGGTTGTACCAAGTGGTGTTTTGAAGGCAGTGCGATATGGCCATAGAGCATCATCTAGTTTGGCACTCCAATCCTTTCTTGTCTTGCATGTTGTCTTCTGAAGTATGCTCTTGAGTTCTCTGTTTGAGATCTCAACTTGTCCACTAGTTTGGGGGTGGTAGGGAGAGGCAACTTTGTGAGTAACTCCATGCTTCTTCAAAAGGTTGGCAAAGATTCTGTTGATGAAATGTGAACCTCCATCACTTATGACTATCCTAGGCACTCCAAACCTTGGAAAAATGATGGATTTAAACATCTTGATGACCACTTGTGCATCATTAGTAGGGCTGGCAATGGCTTCTACCCATTTAGAGACATAATCAACTGCCACTAGAATGTATTGGTCACCAAAAGAGGTTGGAAAAGGTCCCATAAAGTCAATGCCCCAAACATCAAAAACTTCAACTTCCAGTATAAAGTTCTGTGGCATCTCATTCCTCTTGCTTATATTTCCCATTCTTTGGCAAGCATCACATCTTGATATGAATGCATGAGCATCCTTAAACATAGTTGGCCACCAAAATCCAGCTTGTAGGACTTTGGATACTGTCTTGTAAGTGGTAAAGTGTCATGCATAGCTAGAACTATGACAAGCAAACAATATTCCTTCTACCTCTTCTTCAGGTATGCATCTTCTAAACATTCCATCTGAACATTTCTTGTATAAGTAAGGTTCATCCCAGTAGTACCTTCTTACATCACGCAGAAATTTCTTCTTTCTGTAGCCAAAAAAGTTTGGTGGTGGGTATTCAGCTGCAAGGAAGTTTGCTATGTGGCGAAACCATGGTGTGTTTGATGATGAGATCTTTGTTCCTGGCCTGTGATGGCCTAGTTGTCCATGCTCATTGCTGGCTTCAGCTGCATAAACTGATTCTTCAGGTAGCCTATCATCAAGGGTAGATTTTCTTCAACTCTCATCCTTGAAAGGTGATCAGCTACTCCATTATCTGCTCCTCTTCTATCCTTGATCTCAAGATCAAATTCTTGCAGTAGTAGTATCCATCTCAACAATCTTGGCTTGGCATCTTTCTTAGATAAAGATACCTTAATGCTGCATGATCAGAGTGAACTATAACTTTTGATCCCACCAAGTATGATCGAAATTTCTCAAATGCAAAGACAATAGCAGAAGCTCCTTTTCTGTTGTGGCATACTTGCATTGTGCCTCATCAAGTGTTCTGCTGGCATAGTAGATCACATGTAGCTTCTTGTCCTTTCTTTGTCCAAGCACTGCTCCTACTGCATAATCACTTGCATCACACATTATCTCAAAAGGTAGTTCCCAGTTTGGAGGTTGAACCACTGGCGCACTGACCAATGCATCTTTGATCTTAGTGAAAGCCTTGTGACACTCCTCTGTGAACTCAAAGTTAATATCCTTGCATAATAGGCGTGTTAGCGGCCTTGCTATCTGTGAGAAATCTTTAATGAACCTCCTGTAGAACCAGCATGTCCTAGGAAGCTTCTGATATCTTTAACTGTCTTGGGCGGCTGAAGGTTTGTCATTACTTCAATCTTGGCCTTTATCAACTTCTATGCCTCTCTCTGAGATTCTATGTCCAAGCACTATTCCATCTCTAACCATAAAGTGGCACTTCTCCCAATTTAGAACTAGGTGCTTGTCTTCACATCTCTGTAGCACTCTTCCAAGATTCCCAAACATGATTCAAAGGAAGAACCATATACTGAGAAATCATCCATGAAAACCTCCATAATCTCTTCTATGAGATCTGTGAATATGGAA